AGTTGCCAGATTTAGCAAAGAAAAATACAAGATGCCCAGTTAAATGTGAAGTTCAGAAAAACAATTTTTTCGTATAAATATGTCTCAAATATTGCATGGGACATACTTATGTTACTGTCCCAGATTCGTTTTTGCCCGCCACCTGGAAAGCCAAACACTGAGATGATGAGATTGCAGCAGAGAGAGGGTTTTAATCACAAGGCAGCCATGTGAGGAAGCAAGAGGAGTCTCAAGTCTGCTTCCCCAAAAATGGGGACTCAGGGATATTTATGGGGTATGAGGGAGGTGGTCTGAAATGTGGAGACAGGTGGTTGGGGGTGAGGAGAAGTGAGGTAACTGATGATCTGTACAAGTGTAGTCAGACTCCACGCCTCTTCATAGGATGCATGTCCACAAAATGGTGGCGTTGGCATGATCTGAGGGTGGAGTTTTTAGCTTCTTGATGCCAAAAGGTCGCTTATTGGGCATCTTCGTGGCCCCAGTGGATGGGTTGGTGGTCTCAACTGGCCTGAAGTGGACAAAGGGTTCTAATTCCTGAAAAAACCTCTCACACACCCATTACCATGGTGACCCAGGCTCCAGGGAGATGTTATCTATAGGAAACCAGTGGGAGTCAGATAGCATATTGCCTAAACAGCATAGTTAACAATTGGTGGGTTAAACAGCTAAAAGCTACAATCAGTAATTGCAAAAAGAAAAAAAACCTTTAGTTCCTACCGACTTAATCATCAATGGCTGTTTGCTGGTTTCACTTATACTAAAAAGTAATTCATTGTTTATCTGAAATTCAAATTTAACTGGGCATCCTGTATTCTGTCTGGCAATTCTATGAAATGGACAAATCCAAAGAGCTTCCAAGGAGGCTGTGGACCTCTTTGATAGTTGGGCTCTCATGCTACCAGGTCTGAAGTTAATATGAGACAGAAGGATAGAGAAAGGGAGAGAAAATATTTCTGTACTACAAATAATAAAGGGCTGACTAAGTTAGAATTGTTTTGAAATAGTTGGGAGCTAGACAGTGAGCCTGAGGTGTGTATTTGTTGGATTTAGTAAATAGTCTGTGGGACTCTGTGGGACAAAGGGTGTGTGGACCTGAACAAATTGAGTAAATTTTTGATTAGGGGTCGAGTCATATGTGAAAGAGTTTAAGGGAGCATATGGCATCTATTGCCACATTCATGCTGTGGAACAACCAGCCATGAAAGGGAGTAAGCACTCATCGCCCACACATCAGAGTCAGCTATGGGGTGGCTATGTGGCCCTGCTGGTCTTGGCTGAACTTGCTCACGTCTGGGGGTCTGACTGTAGAATGCTTTAGGCTGGCCTCAGTTGTGAGTTCTCCTCCAGGCACCTCTCAGCCTTTTCTAAGGCCCATTCAGCTAACAGAGATGTCTTTCTCACGGCAACATTTCAGGCACCGGGCGAGCAAGCAAAAACATGCAAGCCTTTGAGGCCTCATCTCAGAACGGGCACAGCATCATTTTCACCTCATTCCATTAGTTACAAAACCTGCTTCTATGGGTGGAGAAATAAGCTGTCTCTTTAGTGAGAAGAAATGCAAAGTCACATGGCAAAAGGCGTGGATGCAGGTGAGGTAAAGAATTGGGGCAATCACCATAATCTACCACAAGGGGTGGGTAGGAACATAAACATGAATTGGGAAGTAAAGAAGTTGCTTGTTTTGAAAACTACAAATTTGTTTGGTATTGTAGCACTTTTTCTTCTCCAAGATGAGTAATTTGCAAGACTTCCAAATGAATTTTTCCAGTTTGTGAAGCAGAAATGCCAACAGTTCTACACAAATTACCAGAATGTTTCACAATTCCTCTCGAAATACCTGCAGAAAAGTTCTTCTGAGGGAGCACATGGTGGCATTTTTCTTGCCATAAACAAAATACATCTATCCATATGAAGAGTGTGAGGTGTTAAAGATGAAAACTTGCAGGAGAGTGGTAACATTTAAGAGAAAAAAAAGACCAACTGAAGATCCAGAATAAGCAGGTTACTATTTTGGTGTCCCTTGAAATCTAGCACCATTTTCCTCATCATTTGCAAAGTCTGGCTATCGGAAAGAGCAGACTGGAAATCAGATTGGGATTCTGACACTTGTCTGGTTGAGTGACCTTTGTAAAGTAGCAGTCTCTTTGTGTACTTTTTTGCTTCCATATGTGGATCAAATAGCATAAAAGTTCTGTGTAAACTCTGAAGAACCAAATAAATGAGCTATTTTTACTTCAAAAATAACCTCAGAAAAAAAGCTTCTGTCCATGGAAATCTTCATTGTGACCTCTAATTGCAAGTTCCCTTTTCTTTCAAGTCATTTATCAAAGTCAATAGACAGTAAAAATGATGTTTGATTCTTAGCTATTTTTGTATTTATTGTATCCACTGGTAGTGGGGAGAAAACGAACTGGCATTAGACAAATAATTGTATTAGTTGGGACTCTTCCAGTTTCCAGTATAGGCAACTTTATGTCTCAGGAAAAAGACTGGTCTCATTCAAGGACTTGGATCAGGTGGCAGAGTGTGGATTCGGTTGCCATGCCTGGTGGCCAAGGCCAGATCTGGCCTTCAAATGGGAGGGAGGGTCACTCTTTAGAAGGATGGCGAGTATATTAAATAAATAATACCTGTTCACTAATAGTAGTATTAAAAATAGGTAGCTTTTTAAAACTAATTATATGCTAGACACTTAAAAAATTCATTTAATCCTTACAACCATTCCCATGAGGTAGGTATATTAATAATTCAATTTTTCAGAGATAAAAAGGAGGTATCTAGAAAATAAGTGATATGCCCAAGATCCCATGACTTGTAAGTGGCAGACTTGTGATTGAACCCAAGTATATTGGCTCTAGCCTGAACTATGTACCACTGCAAGAAACAAACAACAGAAGAATGGGAAACTGAAATATGATAGAGTGGATCTGTCTATGCGCAAAGAAGAGCTCTTCCAGAACACCACTGGTGTAAAAGGCAAGTTGCTAAAGGGTATTAGAGTGTGATTTTTTTTAATGTTAAAAAAAACCCAGTAACAACGACAAAACCTCACAAAACACCAAAGCCCAAAGCAAACCTATAGATATATATTGGATGTAAATAGTACACCTATACAGGGATTCATATCGAACCACTCACAGTGGTTATCTCTGGAGAGGGGACTGAGATGCTGGAGACAGAAAAGAGAGTATTTCATTTTGTACCCTACAATTTATATAGAATCTGGAGAATTTTAAAATATGTATTATGAAGAAATAACCTGATGGGGGAAAAAGGAAAAGCAAAATGCCTAGATGCCAAAAATTAAATATGAAAATCAAACTTTGTTTCTAGACCATTCCTGTATCTTAATTTTGCTATTACTTGAGATACAACTGGTGAAAACTACCTGTCACAAATCTCTTTCCCAATTGACTAGAGAGGGTAGCACACGTTTTTCTCCTGAAATTTTGTGGAGAAGGCAATATTTTTAGAATGTGTGTGTATTAATGGCTCATGTACATATTCCCCTGAGTCCTATGTGATTTTTAAAAAATATTTTAATTATAAACTATTTCAAGTATGCTAAAATCTAGAATAAAACTACTTTGTTTTCAAGTGGCATGAAATAAAATACTACAAACACAATTGATGCATCCTGTAAATCTCCCCAGTCCAATGCTCATTTCTTCATTCCCACCACCAAACCTGTGTATTTTACTTTCTATATACACAGCCATAACAGTATGCTTAATAGTATCATTTTGCATATTTTGTACTATTCATAACTACTATCATAAAACACACATTTTTCCACAATTTGCTTTTCTTGCTCATTATTTTTGAGATGTATCCATGTTTTCATGCATAACTCTGGTTTGTTCATTTTGACAGTTGTACAGAAGTCTGTCAGGTTAATAACTACCAATGTTGAGTGCTGGTGAGGGCTCCTTTCTGCTCTTATACACAAGGCTGCCATGAACACTTTGTATATGTCTCTTCATGCACATTCATAAGTACTTCTTTAAGGTAACATGGTAAGAGATTTTTAATTTTACTAGATATTACAAATTAGATGCCAATGTATTTTCCCACCAACAGCAGAAACACTCCCATTGCTTCACTGTCCTTGACAACTCTTACTATTTTGACACATTTTTGCTAATTTGAGGGTGTGATATGGTACTTCCTTGTGTTTTTACATTGTATTTCCTTGATTATTAGTGAAGAGTATTTTTTCCATATGTTTGTGGCCGTTCAGATTTCCTCCTGTAAGAAATCTTTGTTTTTTCAGTGTGTGCTTATTTCTACTGTTATAGGAATTTTTCATGAGTTATAGGAATATTTACATTTTTATAAATCAACCCTTATATATATTAAAAACATCTTCTTACTTGTGCTTATTTCTCCACTTTTATAGTACTTAATGTACATAAGTTTTAAATTTTAATATAAATTTATCATATCTATTTCTTATGACTTTGTGCCTTAAGCACCTTTGTGTCTTACTTAAATAACTTTTTCCACATTGAGGTCTGAAAGCATGTTGAATATATTTATCTAAGTTTTAAAATATTACTTTCAAAAGGCATCTTTAATCCAATCCAGATATATTTATGGTTTGAGGTAGGGATCCAGTTTTTTTGTTTTTTTTTACCAAGAGGAAAATCAATCATATAAACACCATTTTTCAAAAAGCCAGTCCTTTTCTACTAGTTTATAACGACATAACTGAAGTTTCTATATATAAAGGTCTCTCCAAGTCTGATTCAAAGAAATAGCATCAACAGTTAACACTTAATGTGCACTTGCCCTCTGTCAGGAACTAAACCAAGCATTTTACATGCTTTGCTCATGCATTTTGGAGTTGGAATGCCTCAGCTGAAATGTATACTGGGGAGCTCTGGTAAATGGTAGGCCTTCCTATTACTTGTTTGTTTACTGGCTGATAGAGCTGTGGTCGTCAGGTCAAGTACACAAATATGCTGGTTGACATGAACTGCATTTAAAAAAAAAGCATCCCAAATATATAACTTGCTTTTATTAAACAGGGCAAAAGAATCAACACATTTTCCAAAGAGACAGATATCCCAGTAGCTTTAATGAAAACCAGCTTAACATCAGCTTGTTTGACAAAGCTTTTAGAATAAGTGAGCAATTAAATTCTTAAAGTAGGAATAGAACATCAACAAGCTCTAGACCCCAGAACAACAAATTAGGCATCGTTTTGCTGAACAGTTTTAGCTTTAATGTAAATATATATTATTATTTAGAATATTAGCATCCGAACTACATAATAACTTTATCATTTTATTTTAAGTAAAACCAGGATTTCTGGAACCTCCAAGTAGTCTTTAAAGTTTTCCAATATGGACATAAACTAACCCCTATTCCTCTCTACATATTGAATGTGAAACAGTTGTCACAATATATCAACATTTTCACAGGAAGATTTTTAAGGCTTCTGGCACATAAAATGTGTAATATCTGTGTGACAATAATGTCATAATTATATACAGAAAATATTTAAAATTCTCTTTGTGCAACTTAAGTTCTAAAGATTAAAAAACCAAGTGTTCCACGTTGATAAAATATTAAAATATTATGAGCGTCCTATAAATTTGACACTGATCTTGTGATTACATAAAGAATGTGCAAGATAAGACTTGCACGCTAAGTGATTCATCACTGAAATTAACTGTGGAACTGAATATACTTATTTGATATCATTAGTTTTCTAGATCCTACTTTCAGCACAAAACAGGCTTTAATATAACTTATAAACGTTTCCAATTAAACTGCGACATTGACGCAGCCCACGTCAATCTATGTTTGCCTAGTTATTTATATGACATACAAATATACGTCTATGAATCTTAATTTATCCTTTTGTCTAAGTCACCATTGTAGAGAATGTGTCAATAAGTAAGTGGAATCAACAAAAGGTGACTATTTCTCATTTGAAAAAAATGAAAGTCATTAACACCTTGTCTTAAAGATCTAAAGCAGCATACTCAGCTCTTAAGGCAAAAAAGGCCAAAAATATTATTATAAATTATAAACTCTTGTAATTCTTTCTTTTGGCATTAAAAGCCACAGCACAAATTCTTACACTTTAATAGATAATATATTAGTGTACATCTGAATATACATTTGCCGACATTCTCCATCAGTATGAAGCTGTTCTGTGAAGTGGAGGTGGAGAAGGGCAGGGCAACATTTAATGGGCGTCCTGGGCATCAGAGGACATGGAACGGCTGAGTCCTGACCTCCCGTTCACAGATATTGTATTTGATGGAACAGTCACCTGAGAGAAAGAAACATACTTTGCACCCATCAATTTAAAACAGGACAGCTATCTAATTTTCAATTTTCAACAGTTACCACATTTTAACTTCTGTTTAATTGTAAATGCTAACATTTAGTATTTTTTATTCAATAAATTACAAATAATCGAGAATAAATGTTCATTCTACCATGAAATTAAAAAACGAGCGAGTTGTTATTTCCACAACAAACAAGTTAAGTAATCCATTAACACATCATAGTCTTTACAAAATGACCAAATCAACTCAAAGGACAAGAACACAAACAGACTGCAGGCAAGCTGTTAACGGCATTTTTAGCTACACTAATTCTGGCTTCCCAGAATGCCTTGGAGAATGTAGAAAAATAAAATGAATTCCACATAGCAATGAATTTTACAATTTTTGTACTGATAGTATAAGGAATTGTTTGTTTTTGTTTTCTTTAGTAAATAAACTCCTAAGTTCCAAAATTCTATGGCAAAGTCTCCTCTTTGCAAACTGTAAGTGAAAGAAATACACTAATATAAAAATTTTCTAAATAGCTTGAAATTCCAATATTATTTAGAAGAATATAAAGAAAAATCACCTGGATTCTGAACAGGAAATAGGTATAATATTTAGAAATATTATACATAACATATAAGGACAATATATTAAGAAAAATGGTTTATCTCCAGATTATAATCTGACTAGTTTAGATTCATAATTAAAAACAATCATCTTCTCATAAGTAGGGAAGTGAAGTAAGAAAGGCCACAGATTCTGCCTAGCAACAGAGGAAGTTAGCAAAACAGAAAACAAGATTCGCAAATTTAGTTTGGATTTGGTTTTCTTGTGCTTCATTTCTTGCCTTTTACTAAATGAAGATTGGTCATCTAAACTAAGCAATTTTCTTGACTGTCTTATCAATCTAGGATGGAGTAGAATGGTTGATACCATCCACCTGAAATAAATTCCTAACATTCCTAAGAATTCCAGGGGAAGGAAAACTCATGTGCATCCTGTTTAGCATTCAGGTGGAATTCTTTCCAAGTAAAGCCAACAAACAATAGACAGGTAAGAACTTTTCACTGTGTAATCTGGTCTGAGAAGTCTCTGTATGTAGGAGTTATTTTTGTAATCCTTGCCCAAATTGCAGTTCTCCTAATTCTTTGTAAAGTGAAAGAGAGAAAAGTTGTTTTAAGCATTTTAAAAAACATACCGATGGCTCTAAATTTCTACAAGTAAAAGATGTTCATTGCAGCATCATTCGTAGAATGAAAAACTAGACTCTAGTTAAATGTCCACCAATAAGGAGCAAATAAGCTACAGTTCATTCATATAGTCGAATGTTACGTAGTCTTAAAAAAATAGCACGGATATATATATAATAAGATGGAAAGCTTCAGAGAGAGAGATGTTTATGAATGATTCACAGAGGATTCTATCTTCGTAAAATAGTAGTATGTAGTTTACATACTACAAAAGTGGTCTGGAAGGTTACACTATAATTTATCAAGAGTAGTTAATTTGGGGGGAAAGTGGTATTTTGTTTGATATTTAAAAATTTGTTTACTAAACTTTCAAACATGAGAAGGCATCGTTCGAAGACTCATATAAATTCTGTGAGGTCAGAGAACTTGTCTATTTTAATGCCACTTTATTCTCATGTTTATTTTAGAGCCTGGCACACTGTAGATCAATGAATACTTCTTGAATGGAATATGGTTATTTTTTACAAACATTTATAAAATAAGAAAGTATTGCTAGAATTTTTTGAATAAACATACAATACTTATAATAAAGATCTTTCTTAAAAACAGCGTTTCAGGATTTACTGATAGGAGCATCTACTAGTTGACTGTCCACCCTTTAAGTTGAAAGAATCTTCAGGAATATTCACACAGCTTTCTGATTTCCATCAAGGAGTGTTAACTATGAAACTATCATTTATTTTTGCTTTAAAAATATATGGAAAGAACTGCCAACCTGAAACCCTTAGATAATTCAAATTCAAACCAAGGAAATATGAATAAAAGGCAGACCAATTTAAAAAACAAAACAAACCAGCAAGATTCTGGGTGACTTATTCAGTTTTTTTCTTCCTTCCAGATTTCTATCTAGCCAAAGATAAGTTTTACATTCTGAGGAAACACTTATTATCAAGTACTAAATTATCATTCATTAGTGTATTCGCAGACTTTATTTTTACAAACCTATATTCGACTTGTAATCGTGTAATAATCTTTAGTAACTCAAGCACCGACAAGAACTTTCTTGTCTAGTCGACAATAAAGGATTACTTAATCTGCCTTATTCTCTGAAAAACAATTTGCTGACTCACATATAAATCTTGACATCAAACACGTTTCATAAAATACTGAGGTAGATTTATTAGTGCTTCTGTGAAGACAAGACAAATTTCTGTGACCACATGGGGGTCAAGCAGGGGTAAGGTATGGAAAAAACCTTAAGAAATGTGAAAAAACATAGCATGCTCCTGACTACATTTACACTAGAGCAATCAACTAGATAATTGTTCTAATGTGAACCAACTATTATAATGAAGGTTAATCGCTCGGGTATGAACCAGAGCCATAAGGCAGGTTGGTACCTGGAGTTAAATTGAACATTTGGGTGCCAAAATGTAGGCAAACACAGAGCCAACTTTCTGATGAACAATCTAAACCAACTGTCAAAATCACTGGAGATTTTATTTGGCACTGTAACTGCTGTTCTATAAAAGAAATGTTAGAATTTAAAACAAACCAGGAGAAATGTTCAGTACAGGACAGAAATTTGGGACTTAAGCAAAGATCACAAGAAATGAGAGTCTTCTTGTGTCCATCTTTAACCACTTTTTTCCAATATTTTGAAATACACGTACAGAAAAATGCACTGAACTTAAATAAACAGCCGAATGAAAGGAAACACAAACATGTATATAACCCACCACCCAGGTCCAGAGACAGAGTACCTCCAGCTCCCCACGGATCTTGTCTTTAGTTAAAATTTTGACATTTTCTTCATCATGGATTTTTACATTAATTTGGACATTTAAAAAATACTGCCTTAAGATTTATCTTGATTACCTAGTTTTTTTTGGTTCCCTGTTAAATTGTATGCCTGTCCTGCTCCAATAAGCCCCTAACAACCCCTTTTCTTCCCCTCTGGAAGTAACCACTATCAAGATTTTTATAATTATTTCATCATTTTTAAAAATAATTGCTACCTATGCATGCACACTAAAGAATATAATTTAGTTCTGCATGCTGTCAAACTTTACACCTATATTTTTATATGTCTCTATCTACATTGTTGCATTTAGCTGTATTTTGTCCAATTTATTGCTAAATGATTGTTTATTCTTTGAATATACTATTAATTCTACTATTTTTGAATATTAAGGGTATATTTATTTGGAGCTATTACAAACAATATTCTAGGATATTCTTTTAATATGTGAGTTCTGGTACACAAACACACACCTTTTTAGGATACGTAACTAGAAGTGAAAATGCTGATCATGGAGTGGGGATATTGAGAACTTTACTAGACTAGACCCTGTGTCCATTTTTAGTGGGAAAAAAATGGAAATGTAACAAATTTTCATTAAATAAAATTTAGGAGCTGGCCCTGTATAGACTTATAGACTCAGAACTATCAATAACTTCCTACTGAAAGAGAGAAAATTTAGACTCAATAGAACCTAAAGTAATGAGTTATAAACAGGATACAATTATAGGATCATCAGTTAGGGCCTGTTTTTCTGTGTTGATCCACATCCAGGCTCATTCTGGAAGCAATGAGTTTTATATGTGAAGAGACTGCCAAATCAGGGCCCATAACACACCAAGCATACAGCTGCTTGCCTGTACAATTCTGTTGGCCTAAAAGGCAATTCCAATTTAATGCACTGTTTTCTGCACTTAATTCATTGAAATGATTAATCCAGCCACTGACAGTACAAAGACACTGCTATTAGTTTCTGTGTAGGTACTCGGTTCTTGTGCAGGCCTGATGGACCACTGTTTCTCAGTCCCAGGCTGCAAACACCCAGAAGGCTGAGGCTTATTTTACGCATTTTTGTAGCCCTAGTATCTGGTACAATGCTTGGTCCTTATGTGCTTAAAAAAATGCTTGTCAAATTTATAGACTTGAGAAAAAGCTTTAGATCGGAAATGATTGATTTCAAATTTGTCCTTAATTTACAAGATGAGAAATAGAAAAATTTTTATAAATGAGAATGTGTGATTAACAGGGGCATATTTGCCCACAAAAATATAAATATTGTGACCTGTGAGGTACCAATTTTAATATTTAAAGCTATACCAAATTTTTTTGCTGCCTGGCACATAAATTCAGACTCTACAAATAATCTACAGAATTCAAACCTAATCCCCTGAATTATTCCTTCGTGTTTCCTCCACTCCAGACAGCACGCAATATTTTGCCTTGTCTCCATGTTTGCCCAGATGGGAGCGCCAAGCCCTCCGTGAGGACGGCTGTCACTCATGGCTGCATGGAAACACGCTGCAGAAACTGGCTGGTGTGGGCGAGCCTGGCTGAGGTAGATGCGTCCGGGGGCCTTCCCCTTTCTTTCTGCCTTTGCAGCATTCCTGTTCCTTCGTGGATTTCATTTCTGTTGAGCTCAGTGTTTTACTCAACAAGTCTCTTACTCTTCTCTAAATATAGCTTCTAAAATGATGAGGGAAGGAATTCACAAAATGAAATGCCTAGGGAGTCAGTGGAATAATGAGCACTTTTCTTGTCTTGGGTGTTGAGGAACTGGCAACCAAGACAACTGAGGAGAGAACAAGAGAGACATTTAGGGAGACTACAGGCCCTGGGAAGTCCAAGTGATGACGCCAGGCTTCAGGCTTCCCCACCTCCTCTCTCAGTGGATGCCGGTGACAGAGGGAGGAAACTCAGCTGCAGAGTTCCCTGAAAGAATTGGTGGGTGTTTGCCCCAGAAGCAGCATACCTGGTCTCCTGAAGTTCTGCTTCCCCTCAGTTAAGGAGGAGCCAGGCAGCTCTGGCAGGGGAGGATTAAGACTTGAATTTCTGCATTAGGTCTCATCTAAATTCTCTAGATTTCCCCTACATTTTTTGGTTTAACCTGTAAAACTTCCCCCCACCCACAATCCCACATAGGGTAGTAACTTTGATTGCTGTAGGAGTGATGACTGAAAACTTGCAGGCTCCTATTGCTAGGGCAGTTTTTCTGAAATAGGGAGGGATTTTCTTTCCAAAAGAACCCTTCTTGCTGTGCTAACATAATTTCTTAAAAGTAAGAGACCAGGGCACTCTCTCTATATAGTTACATAATAATGAGCAAAACTCATGTTCTGCACCTGCCCGTGTTGCGGAAAATAGACCTGACACATTTTTAACTCCATGTAAGACTCTGGACTCTCTCAGCTGATACTTCTAAAATGACCCTGACATAAAAAAATAACTTCTGGCATCTTCCCTATTCAGATTTAAATGCCAGAAAACAATTTCCCCTAAGTATTAGTTTGACAATGTTGAAAATAAACCTACTGTCACCCATCTGATAAAGAAAACTTACCCTTTTCAATTTGGCAGCAGCCTCTCCAGAACGGATTGCCGTCAGCAAACTCTGCCGGACCTGTTCTGGGTCAGAGCTTTGGAATGGTAAAGAACTTTGTCTCTTAAGGGTGAATGATGGGCAGTCAGTCAGAGATGGTATTTGGGAATTCTGTTCATTATGTGCAGAGTTATTTTCCTATAAAAATAATGCAAAATATTTATATGAATACCAAGTGAAGAATGGGCCAGTTTTCAAAAATTTTCATTATCAGTTCTTAAAGAATCACCGTTGGCCACACTGCTGTTCGAGGCACAGCTCTGTTTCCTCACTCACTGCATTATGTCTGCTGCCAGGACTCAGTTGGAAGATGAGCACATTAACTTCCCTTCTCTTGAACTCAGGGGGCTAAGGAAGAAAAGTGGTACCTCTCTTTGTTTCATGAACACACGGGTAATTTTAGTGTCCTTGAGTCAAATAATGCTAATTTCTCTAATGGAGTTGCCTAGAAGAGCCAAATTAATAATAGAAATATTCCACAGACTAAAAAATAACCCCTTTTCATAGTTCCAACATATTAGGTTGTGAAATTATTATTTTTGAAGGAAAAAAATGGACAAATATTGGCAATTTCATATTGGTTGAATTTAGCATATCTTCTAATCAAGGAATACTAATTACTATGCTACACATAACAGCTTATTTTGCTACACATAATAGCTTATTTCTGGAAGTCACAGGGACCAAGTGATGGCCATATTTTCTAAAATATGAGGAATTTCCAAATTGAAGAATCAAAAAATTAATTAAACTTCTTAGCAAAGAATATTTAGTAACTGATTTAACTGGCAACTGTTATCAAATAATCTTAAAAATGTCTTTTTCAAAGTGCCAAATATCCTTACAAAAGATGAGCTAAAGAGAGCTCAGGCAATGGCTCAAAAACTGTATTTTCTAAACCAAGCTTCCGTTGTTTAGGAATGGTATTCCATTCCAAGAAAAAACACAGGCTTTGTTCCCAAGTAGAGAATTAATCTCTCTACCATACATCTCTTCCTGACATTATAACAAAGTAATAAACATAAATGTGAAATATATGAAGAAATATTCTACAAGATAAATATTGCTTTAAAATTATGGAAAAATCTTTACTTGGCAATATGGTTAATGTTCTGTTACTCTAGAATGTTTGAAAAAGTAATATAAAATACTTCTGGATCTGTCACACAAATATGAACATATTCTTTAAACACTATCAGAGTAAAAGTACACAAAGCATTTTTTAAAAGTTGCATGTGGATTATCATAATTCATACTGTGAATTTCATCTTCTCCTTTGACCAGACTATCTCAACCTAGGAAATTAGAACATTCAGTCAACTGAACACTAAGTCAACAAATCCCTCTTTTTGTAAATTATTACGGCTACATAGTGGTTAAATGATATTTTGGCCAACATACATATAACTGGAAAAGTTGACATTGAATTAACAAAGTGGGAAATTACAAAAATTACATATTTAAACTCTGGTTTCAATTTAAATTTACATGTAAAAATGTTTGGCAAGCTGAAGTTGAATGTATAGGATAGAAAACGCGTAGCTGAGATATGTTTGGTTATTTTATCTAGTCTTTGACATTGCTTATGTTTCTATGTAGTTGAAACTATTAATCTTGCTATTATGTAGAACTGGAGAAGAAAATCAAGTAAACTAGAACATCCAGAAAAGTTATAAACAAATTGAGATAGCAAAACACAGGAAAATATAGAGTCAGAACTACAAACTAGTACATTATACAAATGTACGAGCAAAGAAAAGTTAAAATATTTGCTAAGGATACAATTATATAATGATGACCTTATAGTAATACCTGATCAAGTTATGTGAATTACAATAATTCTGAGAGTGAATAATCGGATTCTATGTATTACCACTCTTTTTTCTTACAGCAGCTCAATATTAGATTAATATGAATTCAGAAATAAGTAACAGACATACCAACAAGCTTGTTCACCCCCGTTTAAACCATGTTGTATATGATGCCCTTATTAATTTTTTTGTGAGGAGGATAGGCCCTGAGCTAACATCTGTGCCAATCTTCTTCTATTTGATGTGGGATGCTGCCACAGCAGGGCTTGATGAGCCACACTAGGTCCATGCCTGGGATTGGAACCTATGAACCCTGGGCCAGCAAAGCTGAGCACTGGAACTTAACCACTATGCCACCAGGCTGGTCTCCAAGAATCCCTTATTTTTAAAAAGGTAACATTTACCTTATCACTCACACCTAGTTGTGGGATGTCCACAAATTTATCTACAGAAGGAGTCTTCCCTTCCTCTGTGTCAGCTGGAGGTTGGTCCAATGCACCCTCACTGCACGACTCTGTGCGTGATTTGCTGAAAGACTGTGACCGTTTCACTACAGCGAGGGCAAACGGTGAAGGAGCAGAGCTGGAGTAAGGTCGTGGGGCACCAAAAGTTTTCAAAGTCTTCAGATTTAGTGCAGCTAATTGACTCGTGGGAAGAGGAGTAGGTTTCGGAGCTACGGGAGGAGGAGAGGTTTCAGGGGGCTTCTTACTGAGGATGTCATCATCAGTGTTTTTAGTGTGGGGCTGTGGAGAGTGAGCTGTTTTACTTAAGGGAGAAAGAGTTTGCTCTGGAGGAGGTATCATATCTCTTTCCACCTCTTTCTTTATTTGTTCCTTTGGAGTAGGATTAGGGGCAGCATGGATACTCTTGGCAGCTGCAGATGTCACATAGTGACCGGAAACTCTTTTTTGCATCTGCAAGAAAAAAGAACTTGGTTTGGTCTGGGGATTTGAAACCCGAGATTTAAGTTTTGACTCCAAAATGTTGTTTATATCTTCCAAATTCGGTGCAAAAGGAGCTGTGCCAGTGTCTCTTGTCATTCTGGGAGTAAGTTTCAGAGGGTTCGCCGTGGTGCTGTGGGGTGAGCTCTCCATACTGTGCACCTGATGCTCTGTTCTCGGGGCAGGCTTCTGTCTAAGGGCTGCCTGTGGCTCCTTTGAGCTTTCAGAAATAAGATCTTCTGTTTGCATTGCCGTTTCTCTCACATTCTCATGAGGGTGCTTTTTTCCTAAAGTATGTCTGTCCTGATCATCCTTATACCCTATGGTTTCTGATTCCCAATCTTTCAATATTTCCAGGGATTTGGGAGGCACTATTTTATAAGTAGTCATCCCAATTTTGGGTATGTACTCTCTTGTAATTTCATTTGAAGGTTTTGGCTTGGGATTGTAGTCTTGTCTGTAATGTGGATAATTCTTTATATAAGATGCAGTTGAATTTTTATCAATCCCATCGACAGGAGACAAAAGACCATCATTACTTTGTGCACAAATTGGATCTTTGATGGTGAGTTGATCTTCTGAATGTAGAGTTAGAGGGCCCTGACTCCTGAATTCTCTTGAGAGATCTATAGAATCTTGTGGACTTAAAGGTGAGTGTTGAGTTGATTTGTTGTTACTTGAAGTTTGCACGCTTTCATCAACTTTGAAGTCAGACAAATTATGATCTTGGTGATTCCCATCAAAACTGGTACAGGAAGGCGTTGTCTGAATTGCTGCATCTTGCATTTTTGTCTTTTCTGCACTGGGTTGATTCAGTTTTTGATCTGGTACTAATGAAGCAGCTGGATGATTTTCCTTGTAACTTCTAGCACCATCAGTTTTATGTGCCTCATAGTTTGATAGTCTGTCAACTTCCATGTCCACATTGTTATTTTTGGCAACACCTCCTGCATTGATTTCTTTTCTCCACACTCCATTTTTCATATTATCTTCTGTGTTCATTGGAATGACAACTATTTCATTTTCATCTACTGAGAGAAAAAAATGTCATCAAATATATGAAAAAGTAGAAAAATCTCAAGTTTTCAATGCCTGTCTCCCTGAAACTGACACAGTTAGTTTGAATTCTACGGCCAATTTTCAGCTCATTAATTACACAAAAGCAGGTATTGGCATTTAGAGAAAACGACATGGGCTTTGGTATCATAGAGACCTCGGTCTGGAACCCACCTGACTAATTAGTCTCTGTGGCAACAAAAGGTACCTTAACCCCTTTGAACCTCAGTTTGCTCGGATGTAAAAAGGGGAAAATATGTATTATATTTTTTATATCACTTACATAACATGCTTTTAGGATAGGATATTACCCAGAATAAGCACTTCATAGAAGATAGCTATGTTTCTTATAAGATTTAGTATTTCGGTCATTGTTAAGACTGATGAAAGAAATTGACAAATTCAGAAAATGTATTTTGTATTCTTCTGGGTTTTTTTCCATTTTGATTCTCCCTCTGTCTTTTCTATAGCCCCTTGTATTTATATTTCATACCTAACATTAAAACGGAAACAACCCCAGCAAATGTTATCAGTTTGAATAAAGGGAGATAACAGAAACATTATCTTTAAGAATCTCAGATGATTGTCTTGTTAATTAGGTATGCCTGCTAAAGAGCTTTAGAGGACTTTGTTTTTAGTCATAATATGGGTGATTTCAATTACATAAAAACAATCATGTGGGTTTTGATTTTTCTCTGTGGGAAAAGATATCCTTATTCTTCTCCTGTCAGAGGCCAAGTAGAGAAAATGACCCGCCTGTCCCCTGCACTACTTTTCCTCTTCATCCTAATTCAGACCTCCTGAAAATGAAGACCGTCTGCCAGTGTCCAGGTTAACAAAGCAACAGTTGCCAGCCAACAACATGATAACAAAGAATTGGAATGAGGCTTCTGGAAGGAAACACAGGTTTACTGAGTGTGCACCATGTGTCTGGTACTGGGCCAAGTGATGTCTATAATGTGCTCCTCTAGTCAATTGCCCTGAAGAACCATTTCTCCTAAATGACCAACTAGCCCTCATCTTCAAAATCCTTAGCGGCCTCCCCTTTCAGCTGTGTAATTTGCACAGCATGAGCGAAATGCGGGCCTTGGGAGTCAAATTGGGAAAGAAAGTCAAGTATTTCTCTCTAGTTTTATCATCACTCACTTTCACCTATAAGATAAAGATCAAATTCACTGCCTAAAATGTCATGAGCTACTTAAAATAGTTCCTCTGTTAAAAAAGAAAAAAGAAAAATATGCATGCAAAAAAAAAAAGTCATGTTGCCAGGTAAATTTGTATACAAATAATTTTTGAAAATATCTTCATATTTTTAAACCCTGCCTAATTGTACAACCATTTGGTCATAATAGTTATACTTTATATTATGCTGCAAGCTCCCTATATTAAACATATAATTTAAAACAGAATTCATTTTTATTCTTCCCAAATAGAATGCAACTGATTATCAGGATATGTATTGTCTGTATGAGTGACTTCACTCAATGACTAATAATTACCAACTTTTATAACTTATAAAATTAAGGACACATGATTAGGAACCATGGAAGAAGTACATTTCTGCCTGTGTGCTTATTTACTTGGTTTATAAGTATTTTTAATATCTATATGAAAAGTGGTGCTCTTAACACTGCTATGAGTACAAAAGAATATAAGAAATGGTCCTTGGCACCAGGAAATAGCCTAAATGCATTTCCTTCTCTCTTGTTTATTTCTTATTTCACTGAATATAGGTATACCCCAGCTATACAATAGAAATGTTTTTCAAAAGGAAGTAAATCAATGTAAAAATATATTTTAAACTGAATCCCCTGTAACAAACCCTAATTTATTGGTTTTAGAGCTCCAGTTTTCTATTTTTCATATTTTCGGTGGATTACACCTACTTTATCAATGTCTAACTCTGAATGTCTCAACAAAATTTCATGATTATTCCCAACGATTGTCAGGCCTGGAAAGCTAGAATCACTAGTGAATTCATAGCTAATCCATCCTCATACATACCTGATAATGATGTTAACCAAATGTTAATGAATGGTTAGGCCATTTTCCAAGAATGGCCAGTAGAGGGAGAAGGTATATTTTGTACTATCCTGTCCTTTCCCTATTATGACACCAACACCTACAACCTGACGAAAGGATGATTTAGGTAGGTACACAGGGTAGGTAAAAAAGGAAGAGGAAAACAGAATAAGACTACTTTAAGGATAACAGAAACTATTTATTTTAAAGATCACCTAGAGTTGACAAAGGTCATTGCAAATCAAGTGCAAATCAAAATAAATATTATTACAGAAATATACTTGTGACCCTAGCATTAACTTGATGCCAAATCTTAGCAAAAATGATTCAATTTGACTATGCTTTTAAGAAGAAGGAAGCAGCTTTTAATTCATTATTTCTCAATAGAAATGCTATTGCCTTCATAGTATATGTTGTGAAAAACTGAATCAAGAGGAAAAAGAATGGGAAATTATATACTTTTAGGCCTTCTCAGTGTTGTATCTCAAGACAGCATTGACCATGGGAAAAATGAATCAGACACATACATATTCAAATTAACCAACACATACTATATATATAAAATGAGATATACCTGTATATCCACTTCTCTATTTGTTTGTGACACTGAGATAATCCATGTTTTATCTGAATATGAATACATACATTCCTGTTTTCTAAGACTATTAACCTAGTTTTGTATATTAACATACATAAATTAACATAATATTTGTATATTAACATAATAGACCATGAGAATTCATAAGCCACTTCCTTCATATCCCCTTAAAATACCACTGTGCATTCCTTGTATCTTTTAGTATCCATTTTTCTGAAATTCAATCTTAAGTATATATTTTAACAGTATCTCGGTATTCTGCTAGGTGCTTTGAGGAGTTCAAACAAACTGTCAGATAGAATTTCTCTGATCCAAGACTGTTCAGTCTAGTCGAGGAGTCAAGCCCAGAGAACTACAAGGCTTCTAGTAATCAAGTAACAAAATAAGTGAAGTGGCAGGATTTGGATGGTAGTTGAACGGGTGAAGATAGGTGGAAAATTATTTTCCATGCAAAGACAAAAAGGAGCATAGGTCTAATGACAGAACTGAGTGAAATACAGGATGAGAAGGAGAAGAATCTGTTGATTTAGGGGGTGGGGAGTGGGAAATACTGGGTAATAACATTACACAATTAGGTGATTTGAGCCTTAAAAATCAGGCAGATAAGTTTCACCCAAGATATAGCAACTTGGGTATGAAGTACAACAGGTTTGGACTAGGGAGTCAGTAGAAGGAAAAAAAAGAAATATATCACAAGTAGACTCACCGAGTGTACAAGTTTAAGACCCAAGATCTAAGACAGGTAACTTCTAAGATTTAACAATAACAAAAGTAGTACACACGGTAGTTAAAAGCACACTTTGGAGTATATTGCCTGAGTTCAAATCCGAGGTCCACCACTTACTAATTGTGGTACCTCAAGTGAGTTACATAATATCTTTGGGGCTCAATCATCTGTAAGATGGTACTAAAAATAATAATACCCATAAATGAGTTAATATACAAGATGAAATGGGTTAGATATAGAGAGTCACACACTGCATAACGATGGTTCACAGCAATGGACTACATATATGACAGTAGTCCCATAAGATTAGTGCCATACAGCCCAGGTGTCTAGTAAGCTATACCATCTAGCTTTGTGTAAGTACAGTCTATGTTCGCACAACACTGAAATCATCTAATGACATATTTCTTGGAACATATCCCCATCGTTAAGCAACACATGACTAAAGTGTTTAGAATGGTCCTTGGCACATAGTAAGTGCTGTGAAAGTGTCGGCTATTTGTGTTTATAGAACTCACCATTCTCTTGGTTTGGGCCCAATGACTTCAAGTTTCTTACACTGTCAACTACCTTCTCTTCATTGCTTGCATTATATACCATAACGTGTGGTCCCCTGCAAAATACGATATTGTATGTAATATATTGATACTATCCAAACATATACACAAATACACAATGAGAAAACAGGCAGTAATTTCTAAAGACAAATAGACTGAAATAATCTTTTTTTCTGCCAAATACTGGAAATGTAATAGCAAAGAAAAAGAAAAAATACAACAGAGAGGAAATGCTGCTATGAAACATTAGCTTTCATATGGCGGTCTTATTACAGAGAAAGATGCAAGAAACTTGGTAAAATAGACACTTTCCCAAAAACAGTGTCTTTTTGTTATTATCAATTATTTGTCTTTTAAAGAAAAAGGAAAGTAAATGAAACATTTTAGTCCTGCATCTGGCAAAGTCAACTTGTAGCAAGTCAGGATGTGGTTTGACCTCACTGGTTTTTTTTGGTGATAGAAGAGTTTAGTTTGAAGACAATCTCATGCAAATTATAGTAAAACTTTGATGAAGATGGTTTATTTTGCCTAGTTGATTCATCTTTATTCACGGTGTGGCATGTCTAACATAATGTAAGTGTACCGTACTCTATCTTTCAATTCCTAGGATCAAATGGAAAGTGCATTCTCTGCATCATAAAGTTGACTGTGAAAATAATATTAGTAATTTAACGTTAAATTCTAATATGCAGAATTGTCTTACATATCAGTCGGTGAAAATCCTTGGGGAGCATTTGGCGAAAGTTAAAAAGTAAATGTTTCATTTAGGTCAAATAGTTAGTAGGCAAAACAGATAGAATACAAATAAAAATGTTTATATTTGAGTCATAAAAATCAGGTACACTTTATGGTTAATCTGACACAGGGATACCAGAACTGTTGAATTTGATTTTATTTAGAAACAATTACATGCAAATAGATACTTTATAAATAAATATTTTTATAATGATGGCAAAAGGGATAGAGTCTAAACTAAAGGGACCACCATATTTATGTTTAAAATATCAGATCTCTATTTCAGAAGACTAGTATTAATTAAACAAAGTGCTCCCAACCCTTCTGGCACCCAGACGACTTACTGTCCATCTGCGTTTCCAGCTTCTTGTTTTTCTTCTGCGGAGTTTGGTGAGGACCCGCCAGTGCCATTGCCCAGGGCTGCGTCGGCATCATTTTTCAGTGTATTTGTTCTATCAGTAGACCCGCACGGAATATCTTGTGACTTCAGAGAAATATTTTCAGCCTCATCTTTAGGCACTTCCCTCAGTTCTTCCTTTTCATCTATCTCTTCGAGGCTATAATCAGAGCTTATGCCAGCTACAAAGAAATGAAGATACAATATTAAATATTAATTTGCCCCATTCGTCCTAGGCAATCCTGGCAAGGAAGGAATTTTTGAAATAATAATTAGCTGGACTTCTAAAAATTCTGGTTCAAAACTAATAGTAAATACTTTTTTAATGGTGATTAATCATGTTAACATATAATCAGATTATCTCAGACACACATAATCCGAAAAATAATATGCCGTCACTCTAGGTTTTATTCATAGTAGAAAAAAGAGATTATTTAAACTCATAAACTTCGAGTTATATATTTAAGAATATATCTTTAAATTCAAATGATTTTTATATTCTTCCATAGCTCTAAATACAAGTTAAAAACAAAAAAAACAAAAAAAAACATGAGATTTTCATATTGTCTACAAGCGCATTTATAAAATTTGGCTCAGTAGTTATCAGTAACTACAATTGAGAATGATCTGAGCCCCTTTTAAAAACACTGATGCTGGGGCTGGCCCCGTGGCCAAGTGGTTAAGTTCGCGCGCTCCGCTGCAGGCGGCCCAGTGTTTCGTTGGTTCGAATCCTGGGCGCGGACATGGCACTGCTCATCAAACCACGCTGAGGCAGCGTCCCACGTGCCACAACTAGAAGGACCCACAACGAAGAATGTACAACTATGTGCCGGGTGGCTTTGGGGAGAAAAAGGAAAAAAATAAAATCTTTAAAAAAACAAAAAACAAAAAACACTGATGCTTCCCATTCCCTACCCCAGACCTGGTAAATCGGAATGTCTAAAGAGTGGGACCAAGAATTTTAAGGCTCCTCAGATGATTTTAATATGCAACAGGGCTAAAAGCCACTGATTTAGATGCTTAAAATAATTTTCAAAATTACAATAGAACAAGTATTATACAATGAAAATTAATTTTTATTACCATCCAGTTTGATTCTCAGAGGCAAATCCTTTAACATATTTTTCCTATACATTATCAGAAATAAATATGGGGAATCTTAATGGCATTTTTCTTGTAGTAAAAAATAGATTACTTAACAGAAAAAATATAAAGAATTTGAGTGTGTGAATTTTTAAATATATATATTTTTGGCAAATTTTATGACATGTGAAATAGTCATTATGATGCCAAGGTACAATATTATGTGTCTATGATAGCATAATACATTTATGTAGTAAGAGTGTGTTTATATAATTTGAAAACTGTACATTGAGAAAAATGAATGGCCGCTCTGGTTTAGACGCAAATGTGTTTTATAAATGGCTCCTCAATATATGTTAAGCTCTTTTGGAAATTAGATTAACTGAGGTAACATTTAGGAGATTACTAATCATTATACCTATTTCTCTCTTGCCTCTCATGAGTATTTCAGAGATATACAACTTTTCTTTAAGCATGGACCCTCTCTGAGAAAGTGTTCTCAATTACTTAAAGTATGGAGAAGGAGTTATATGTCTCAAGTCTTTTCAAATTATTTTTCTGAGTTGGTAGTTACAAGCATCATATAGGCTTGCTTAAATATATATTTTTCAGTAGCTTGAAAAGCATTCTTATTATTAAAAGTCTTAGAAAAGGCTGTGATTCTTTTAAAAAATTCTAATCATTCAAGAGAACTTTCAGTTTGCTATTTAACTAGTACAGATTTCCCCAAACTTTGAAAAATATTAAATCATATTTGTTTTGTATGTACTAACAGACTGATATGATGGCCAAATTTTAGGACTATAATAAAAAAAATTGGGGTGGAGGCAGTGAACAATGATTAATTTTCACAAGTGTTATATTACAACTATCATATTTCAGTTTCATAAGTTCTAAAGGAAGAATATTCACTTTCAAAGAACACAGTTGAAAATCTTAGTGTAATTTTAAGATTTAATAACTTCCAAAGTATAAACATTAAAAAATTACAAAAAACATCACTTGAAAGTGTAATTATTGAAACTTCTTTTACATTTACTTAGCTTTAATTTAATACTTGAATACTTTTTATCTTAATTTTTTCAGTCCCTCTAAAATAAAATTCAATTAAAAATTATTTAAAATTCACAAAATGTAAAAGGAATTTAAATAATTAAACTTTCAAGAGACATTTTGTAAGTTTGTAGCATTTTACTTGCAAGTTATTAAAGCTTAAAATTTCACTAAGACTTTTGGGATACCTTGCTTATTTTCCTGGAGATAATTAAAATGGCAAAGTTATCTGACAAATACCACTCTGCTAAAACAGAATTGTATTAAATTAAATCCATTCTGGTGAACTACTTTTTTATTCATTCATTCATTCATTCAAAAAATGCTTACTGTGTCAGACACTGTTATAGTTGCTGCCAGACAAAGTTGTTTTCCCTTTCATTTTTTTAAATCGAGGTATACTCAGTAAAATTGATCATTTTGGGGATACAGATTTGACAGATATATAATCTAGTTGTGTGACCACCACCATAATCAAGATATAGAACAATTCCACCGCCCCCCAAATTCCCCCATGCCCCTTGGTAATCAACCCCTCCCCCAAGCCCAGCCCCTGGCAACTGTTATCCCTATAGTTTTGCCTTTGCACGAACGAATCTGAATGAAATCATACAGCATCTAGCCATTTAAGTCTGGCTTCCATCATTGAACATGATGCATTTGAGATTCAGCCATGTTGTTGCATGTATTAGCTATTTGTTCCTTTTTATGGCTAGGTGGTAGTATTCCAATGTATGGATGGACTGATCACAGTTTGTTTATTCCTCAGTTTAGGGACATTGGGTTGTTTCCCATTTGGGGCAATTATGAATAAAAACTACACAATAATTCACGTGGAAGTTTTTGTGTGCAAGTAGCTTTTCATTTTTCTTGAGAAAACACCTAGGGGTGGGATTGCTGGGTGGTATAGAAAATGAATGCTTAAAATTAATTAAAAAAAACCTGACAAACTATTTTTCAAACTGGCCACACAATTTTGCATTCCTATAAACAGTATGTGATTTTAAATAACTGGTTTGAGGTGATAAGGACTGTTTTTGAGTCACTGAGAAACTATTTATGATAAAATTCAAGTATTACCTAACTATAAAGTTTTGCATCTGGTAACAAAATAATTTCAATAATTTAAAAGTAAAAATCCCATTCAAAAACAATATTATAGAAAATAAGCCATGCCTAGATAACAAAAGAGTAGTTCAACAAAGAAAAACGTGTATATATATATAAATATATATATATATATATTTTTTTGGTGAGGAAGATTGGCCCTGAGCTAACATCCATTGCCAATTCTCTTCTTTTTGCTTTAGGAAGATTGTCGCTGAGCTAACATCCATGTGAGTCTTCGTTTTGTATGTTGGACGCCATCACAGCATGGCTTGATGAGCAGTGTGTGGGCCTGTGCCCAGGATCTGAACCCACGAACCCTGGGCTGCTGAAGCTAAGCACATGAACTTAACCACTATGCCACCAGGCTGGCTTCTATTCTTTTATGATTATATAGTTACACATCGAAAATAATAAAGTTCAAATGGTTTTGCCAAAAGCAGAAAGTCACATAGAGAAGAAGCTGAAATCCTTCAGAGCCACTGATTTTATTTATCTTGCACCTTGCCATATTCATCTATATAGTTAGGGAGAATATCAAATTCTAAAGCTGTAATAAAATTCCAAGTGAAAAGGGGGAAAGTACTGTTTCTTTATGAGACATTTTTACCCAAGGGATGAACAAGTAACTGAATCTACAGGTGATGACAACTTGACCTACATCAAACAAAGCACCAGGCAGGAAAGGCCGGGTCACCTACATGTCAGAGAGGCCACGGCTGCCTCGGGCGTTCCAGGGCACTCCGAGAGAGAGGTTTCCTCCGTCAGTGTGGGCACAGAGCACTGCTCGTGACTGGGGAGCGCGAGGCCAAGGGAGGCTTCTGCCAAGGAAGCAAAATCTGTGGAAATGGTACTTAGACAACAGACGTAAGGCAAGCAGAGATCACGAAGCATTTCAGAAGAAATCAGATTTGTTAGCTCAGAATTATCAATGCATTAGACAAGAAGAGGTAACAGGGAAAAAAAGGAAGAGAAAGATAACGAGATAGCAAGCAAAGCTTAAATAGTAGTCATACCTTTTTTACTGATACTTCAGAATCTTCTCATTTCACTTATATAGTTTGATATTATCTAATAAATTGCCTTTGTGGAGTAAAATAGTATAATTGACAGTATCATGGGTTGGAGTTAAGAAAAATCATTACTAGTTATCTAACGGTAATTTTTTTTTTTTTTGGTGAGGAAGATAGGCTCTGAGCTAACATCTGTGGCAATCTTCCTCTATTTCGTATGTGGGACACTGCCAGAGCATGGCTTGACGAGCAACGTGTAGGTCTGTGCCTGGGATCCGAAGCATCGAACCGTGGGCCACTGAAGCCGAGTGTGCGAAGCCAACCACTATGCCACCGGGCTGGCCCTAATGATAATATTTTTAATCACAGAGGAAATCTTCTTTCCTCCATATAAGATGTGTCAAAATCCCAAAGTCCTAAATGTCACTTAAGGATTAAAGATTTGGGGGCATTCGGGTTCCTCTGAATTTTTCCTGTATTTGTGAATATGAATTTATATCATATTCATTTATATCTAACTTTAAGTCTAAGGATTAGGAAATTTTATCATACTTATTCTTATAATAGCTACTAAATAGCTATTATTAAAAATATTAGCAAACAGTACTACATTGAACTATTTTATTTTTACTAGAATTTCATTTATTTGGGGAGAATCCAAAATGAGACCATATAATGGAAAAGATTTCGTGATAACAAATTTTTACCATTAGATTAAGACACTATGTACTTGAATTCATAGCTAGGATAGTTGCATAAAGAACAGTGCTGTACATCTTCATGTCAGTTTTCTTCTGCACACACCAAGATACATTCCCAACAAAGATGTCTCCTTCCTCTTGGGAAGGAGATTAATAAATGATAACCCGGTATTGCGTAAGGAAAAACAGGAGACCTAACGGGGAAGGTACTCAAGGCACCAACACAGAACTGAAATTTGGGGTTCTGCCAGTTTCATACTGGGGAGGAATTTTTTCATTTCAATAAAATAAAATTTGGGAAATGGAGTCAAAGCAAGTATCTCTTTCACATACAGAGCATTATAACTAGATTCATTCCTCAACCGTCAGGAAAGCTCTTTGTCAGTAATCACGTAATATGGAGTACAGGTGTCCTACCTGGGCTGGACAGACCCTCAGGAGAGTCTGCTTCAGAAACACTGTCAGTAGGAACTGCATGGACTGACTCCAGGGCTAGAAGACAGAAGCAACACGACTTATAAACAAGTCACATTCACAAATGAAACAATGCCTCAGTAGCTTAACTTAGCTATTTTTATATAACTCAGAAAGAGATAGCCCTAACCTTGTTAGAAGCCTTTTTACTGTCCAGCTTTAATACAATTAAAATCTACTTAGATTCCCATTCCTACATGTAGTCAATCCCAGAAAGGCGGGATCTTTCTGAATAGATTCACAAATTATCACAAGCTCTTTTTAGTATAATGGAGCTGAACAATTTTTTCATTTGATATTGTTACGTTACAGATTTTAAAAAGGCAGCTGAGAATAACCAGCGACTAAGTATTATTATTAAAATTAATTAATTATAAACCTAAGTTTAAGTACTACTATTTAATAAAATGACATGATTTATAACCTATATCATTTCTACCATCTATTTAAACAAAACACAATGCAAATATAATGTTAATGGGAAAAGTAACATTACCAGTCACAGGACTGTTTTCATCACTTTGATGCAGGGACATCTTAGAGGGTGGGGAAGGTGCTTTTCGCTTGGTCCTTTTCAACGATGAATTCCCAACAGATGTGCTACTGAGCTGCAGCGAGCCTGTCCTCACTATGCCTGCTCCACAGGGACCCTGTGTAAAACAAAATGACCACACCCAATCTCTATTTAGAAATTAATAGCAAACTTTAGGAAGCCTCTGATCTTTATGTCTAATGCATCATATGCCAGCATGGAACGTCATATTCATTCATTCGAAAAACACATATGGAGTATCTGCCATGTGCCAGGAGCTAGGCTGAGAGATGGATACATAAAGAAAGATAAAATATGGTCCTTCTCAAGAAACTTAGGCTAGGAGACGGACATGCAAACAACTAATTATAGTGTAGAGGACTCATAAGCAGTACAGTTAAAAACTAACTCTCAAAGAAAAATCTGGAGAAAATATTGACGTAAAGTAAGAAGGGAGAAAGTGAAGAATATCTGTACATTAAGATAGCTTTTGATTCATCTTTCTCTTTTTAGCATTAATGAATCAATGACAAACATTTCAAAAATCTATATGTCTACCCAAGGCAAGGTCATTGGAGGCCACGGACTCTATGCACAGCTAACATTCACACTCATAGCATGTGAGTGTCAGCAGACCCTAAGACAATCCTCCCTCAGCAGGTTGGCTGGTGCCTCCTGGCCCAGTGCCATGTCATCTTGCTCTTTCCCTTTACAACAAACCTGCATAAAAGCATCATTCATAGTTTTTGTCTCCAATTTTTCATCTCCCACTAGAACCCTTCCAATCAGACTTTTCCCAACCTTCATTTCATCAAAACTATTTCTACCAAAGTCATCAATGACCTCCACCATGACTAAATCCATGGTTACTTCTTGGAACTCATTTATTTGACCTATTAGCAGCATTAAACAGACTTGACCACCCTCTTAAAATTCTCTTTTTCTTATTTCCAGGACACCAGGTCCTTACTCTGCACAGATCCAAACTCTGTTTTCTTTGTTGGTTCCTTTTCATCTAAGTGCTTGGACGTAGTCTCCTTAGTATCTTTGTTCATTCCTCTGGTAATCTCCCCTATTCTGTTCGTTTCATGTACTATTTATATGCTAATGAACTCCAAACTTATCCTGGACCTCTATCTGATCTCCACTTAATGTCTAAGGCCATCTCAAACTTGGTGTCTAAAACTGAGATCCTGGTAATCCCTCCTTTCCCCTCCCCCATCAAAAATAATCCTGTTCACGCAGTTTTCCTCGTTTCAATAAAGAACAAGCCATTCTTCATCTGTTTAGGCCAGTAACTTTGGAGTCACCCTCATCTCCTTTTCTCACACTCTGCATAAAGTCCATCCTGTTGGCTCATCCAGCTTGATTGCTACCATGTAGTCCAAATTATCATCAAGAACCTTCTAATTGGACTCTGCTTCTACACTGCTTCCCTACAGCCCTTTCTCAACATATCAGCAAAAGGATCCTGTTAAAACATTAGTCAGATTAGGTCATTTTGTTAGAAATCCACTAATGGTTGCCTAACTGGCACAGAAAAGCCAAAGTCTGTGTAATGACTTCTAAGGCAATTGTCGACCTGGCCCCTTAATCTCTGACTGACTCCTTCTCCGAGGGTGGAGCAGCTCACTCCACTCCAGCCACACTGGCCTTTCATGCTGTTCCTCAAATGCGCCAGAGTGTTCCCACCTCAGGGCGGTTGCACTTGCTGTTCCATATGCCTGGAATGCTCTTCTGATATAACTTGAGGCATAACTCCCTCAATTCCTTCAGGTCATTTCTTAAGTGTCACCTTTTCAAGGAGCTCCTCCTTGACCCCCAACACTTCCTCTCCCTCTTCCCAGCTTTATCCTGATGAGCAGCATTTAATAGCTCTCTAACACACCATATAGTTGGCTTATTTACCTCGTTTATTTTCTCCTTCCACTAGGGTTGACTATAAGGGCAGGGATTTCTTCCCCTCCTATTTTGCTCCCTGCTGTTTCTCCAGAACAATGTCTGGCTCATAGAAGTTTCTCAACAAATATTTGTGGAGGGAATGAAAGAGTGAATGAGATACTGCTTTCTTCATTAACAAACAAAAAGCCTTGATAAACTAGGAGAGCATGTAAAGCTTAGGCCATTCCAATCTTATGAGACAATGTAAGCACACCTAAGGGAAGTGAACTAGTTCATAGATGTCTTTCAGTCTTTATATCTTGCTGCACACCAAGAAAAACTTAGCAAATTTACTATTCGGTAATTATGTGATATACCTGCCAGAGAAGAAAGGAAGCCTGCCCCAACAAAGAAAAGCTTGAGTTAGTCTTCACCACTGGCAGCTATGTTAGGAACTAAAGGGGAAGGCAGCTCATTTCATAGGGACAGAGGCAGAGTTAGGTTCACAGCCGGAGGGTGTTGACTGAACACACCTCTCACTAACGTTAGCTCCTCCTAACAAGGGGGTGGGACAGGTTAGCACGGGCTGACTTTACTGGGAGTCAAACCATTAAAGTTTTTCCATACCAGTTGGTAAACAGTTGCAGCCACCAACCTCCTCTCCCCTCACTACTCTGGTCCCTCCTCCAGAACTCTTAAGACTTCTCCACAATCCAGCAAGAAAAGAGTTAAAGCCTGCCACCCAAACTCATATTGATTCAAAGTCACTAAATGCAATTCTGATTAAATCTGAGGGTCATTCCTCCATAGTCCTCCACATCCCTTCCTGCCCAGCCCCACACCTCCCTCCAGAGTGGATGTGGGGACAGATCCGCAATTGCAGCGTGGACTTTTGAATCTATCAGGAGAAGGGCCCTCGGCCATAAAGAGTTGGGAGAGAAACGCAGTATAATAGAGCTGGATTAGCAGTATTTAAATATCATTTTGAGTAGAATGTAAAGTTCTTACAGATGATATATCTCTGTGTTTGGACATTTTCATTTGCTAGCTTATAAAACTAACAAATTTAGGAATCATTAGGAAGAAGGCCAAAATTTTCCCTAAAACAATGTGGCACTTCACTTTTTAAAATATTGATCTAAAAATCAAAAGCAGTAGAATCTATCATGTTATTTCTTGATGAATGTGCTTCTGTGAAGCCCTATTAGCATGCTGCACTCACTGCACAGACCCAGCGTATCAGGAAGAACACAGCAGGTGATCAATAAGTAACAGCCGAATGCATGAACCTCCTGGTTCCATGCTGAAAACTCGTTTCCCACGTTTTCACTGATCTGTATATTTTGACAAATTTTAAATTCTTTATCCATAGAAATATAAATATCCTTTACAAAAACAAGTGAGCTTATTTTAAGACCTCTAGGGTCATAAATGAAATATATGAGTCTATTTTTATTCTGTCTTTGAATTATGGGTAGGTTCATATAAATTTGTGAGTCAGTGTATACAAATTCTTCCCTTTTTTATTTCTATACTGTCTGCTTTATTATATTATAACCAAAATTTAAGAGCTCTAACTCCTAAACATATACTATTGTCTGAGAAATTCATGCCATGACTGCTTTTCTCAGGTCAAAGAAAAGACCACTAAATGAGTTATTTTACAAACGCCAAAAAATTTTCAGTAGCATCCACGAAGACAGTTGAAGGACAAGAAGGGCAAAGCCATCAACATTTTGGAGGAGCACATGTTTTATGACTTTATTCTTTACGACTTATCCACTTTAACCTGTTGTGTGGGTGTATCATGAAAGTAATGGACATATATTTCTAGAGCAGTAGTTGGATCAAAGAGACTAGAAACGAAGACTTTAGGGGAAGAGAGTATGATTGTCACTGAGCAACACCAGGTAGACTTATGTGACCTGTCATAACTAGATTCTATCTGCAATTAATGGTTAAAACTTACTAAGTTTATGACAAAAATATAAATTCAACAACTGATGTAAAATGGGCCAAAGGTAGGCATTTTCAAAGAATATGAATGGTAAGCTTAAATAAACACCAAAAGATTAATGACAGAAATATAAGTTTTGTCCTGAGATATGAGTGATATCAATGTTAGTGTTCAAGGAAATAGCTCACATATATTTCCTGTCCTTTAAGAGGGAGAGGAAAGAGCTTTCCTTTTCTTTTTTTTTCAAAGACTGTTAGAAAAGGATTTCAATCAGCTAAGAAGCAACCAAGGAAAGTTAAGAGAATAAAAATCAAACTTGGAGTTATTTTGTGCTAACTCAAGACCTAACTTTAAGACCAAAATGGAGAAACCCTAGGCCTTAAGAAAGAAATGTTCTATATGTACTGAAAACATCCTTTTCTTGGGGAAAAGCCTGCAGGAAAAGAAGGGGCATTTAAGTTAGAAGATCTAGGTGCTTCTAAACAGATTGTAGACAAAAAAACTAGTGTGTAGTGAGGGATTTGGGTGGAATATACATAATCTGACACACAAAATTGGAGAGGCTCCTGACCCAAGAATGACTCCTGCTAAAAAGCAGATCTACTAAACTACCACAGTTATTTAAGTAAACACATCATGAGTTCCTATGTAAAATGTTGAAAAAGGAAAGAAAAAAGGCCATGATGGCCACCAAAGCATAACCAGCAGCATTCTCAAACCCTTTTTTTCTCTCTGCACCTCAGGAGAAGGCTCCCAATAGGCTCCCACTAGTTCTCTTCTTGCATTAGTCAGGGTTGAGCTACCCAGTATGTCCGAGTGTGAGTTTGTCTAATTGCAGAGAGGCTTCCAGAGGGTTTGCCAGTTGGAAGGCAGCCCAGTGTAATGGTTACCAAACAGATGAGCTCTGGGGACAATGCCAGGGCTTGACCCAGGGAGCGTGCACTGTGACTCTTCCTAGTACCTACGCCTCAAAAGGGGTTGGATGCTTAAGTGAAATGACGTGAAAAATAGTGCTGTCCCCAGCATCCAGCACATGCTCCATAAATATTAGCTAACATTATTCCACATGATTTGTCCATTTTAAAGTACGTGAAATTGCTCTGTAAATAAAATAAGCAAATTATTGTTATAATGTAGAGATTAAAGTAAAAAGTATGGATAAAAGGAGGTATTTATTCTAAGATTGTGTTTTCTCTTTCATGACAGTAGTGGTGGGAGTCTGATTAGAGTCAGTCTCAGTTACAATCAGCCTTAAAACCCTGACAGCGTCCAACAGTCGG